AAGGTGCTGTGTGCAAATGCCCTTCTTATATCCTGTTCCTTCAGCTGCAACTAATGAAAGGGTTCAGGGCCCTTTCCTCTCCCGTAAGCCATGTTGCTCCCTTCTCCATTCCTCTCTGTGTGTCCTAGGATGAAGAGGGGATGGCCCTGGTTCTTCCTCTGAATGGCCAGCCGGATTGTGCCCTTCCCCCGTTTCTTCCACAGCCACCGGAGCCACACTCCCTGTCAGCTGCTCAATCTCCCCCTCAGAATCAGACTCCCACAAGGGCATGTCACAACCAGTTATAAACTCTAGAATAATAAAATAATAAATAACAGATAAAATCTATATTAAAATCACAATTTGGCATCCAATCTGTCAGTTACACGTGGCCTAACTATACTATAATGTCAATCCTTAAAACTGTGAGGCTCATAGTCATTAAACACTAAAAATGCAAACAAGTAGTAATGCAAAAAGGTTTGCTACATTAGTTGTGTAAAATAGCTGCGGTGGGTTAATCACGTGTTTCCGATGAACCCCCAGTGCTGCTGTGCAGAATCTAGCCACCTGAGATGTAATCACAGTCTGTTCCCCCTTAAGCAGCCACTAGAGATAAGCGTGGTCGGAAAGGCTAGGATGCCTATCAATTATTGGGAGGACATGTTATTTTTGAATATCTCTATAGCACAGATGGCTCAGGCACAGAGCTTGTCGGCAGTTCAGCGGTTCGAATACCTGGCACTGTGTAATGGAGTGAGCTCCCGTGACTTGTCCCAGCTTCTGCCAACCTAGCAGTTCGAAAGCATGTAAAAATGCAAGTAGAAAAATAGGGGCTACTTTGGTGGGAAGGCAACAGTGCTCCGTGCACCTTCAGCGTTTACTCATGCCGGCCACATGACCACGGAGACCTCTTCAGACAGGGCTGGCTCTTTGGGTTTGAAATGGAGATGAGCGCTGCCCTCTAGAGCCAGAAACAATTAGCACGTATGTGCAAGGGGACCTTTACCTATAGAATAAGAGTCTCAAACTCAAGGCCTGTGGGCCAGATCTGGCCCATGGGATGCTTAGATCTGGCCCACGGGTCTGGCATGGAAATATCAAAGGACCGGCTGGCAGTGCCTCTGTCGGCCAAAATGGCCCACAGGGGGGCCATGCGCGGCCCCCGGGCAGCCCATTTTCAGCCTCTATGTCCTCCTGCATCACTCTGCCCCCCGCGCTTTGGCCGGCAAAGTGCTACAGGAGGCCGTCTAGGCCAAAAATGGGTGTGGGGGGCACATGATGCCCCCCATGCCCTGTTTTGGCTGGTAGGGTACTGCAGGAAGCATCCATCCTGTCTCCCTCCCCCCTCCTCCGTGTTAAGGTATTAAGATTTAAGAGCAGTCAGCAGCAGCTGACTGATACAACAAGGATGATTCAGCATAGCATGGGTATTGCCCTTTAAGACTGGGGATGGGTTCTATCCCTTTAAGAGGTGTTTATATAAGAGGCGGCCATTAGAGGGCTTGGTTCTCTCTCCTTGTGTGCGGTATTCATTGCAGAGTTCTCAGTGTAGAAGAAAGAGTACTTGTAAGTTATTTTGCCTGTCACGTATATGTCTGTATATAACTGTTGTATATAAACCACTGTTAAATGTCTAAGTCTCGGTGTGCTGTGTTTTGTTCTGGGTTGTCTCATAATAATAGTCATGCTGCAAATACTCTGACACTCTGGCCCACGGAGGAGAACTACAATGCTGATCCAGCCCTTGAAGAAGTCCAGTTTGATACCCCTGCTATAGAAAGAGCATCGAAGGAGTATGTGTCCTACGGTCTCCACGTCTCTTGAGCCACAGGAGCAGAGACTTTCAGTCAATGGTATCTTTTTATGCTTGTCGTGCAGGACGGTCGATGGAAGCACATGGCGCCATGTGAGCAAAAATGCTTTCCGATGGGGACATCAAGCTTTATCCTGCCATCATGTATCAAGGATTGGTAATCTTATTTCGCCAGACACTATCTGTCAATTAAAAGAACAGCTGATAAGGAAGGAATCGACTAGAAAAATGTGAGATGGGAGAGCCATGTGGTGTGAAAATTTCACCTCGATGTTCCAGTATCGCTCAAGTTCATAAAACCTTGCATAGCCATCTCTTGGGAAATTCTTGTTAATGCAGGCAGGCCAAACAAGTTTCTCAAATGGCGTTCGAAAAGGTTTGTGCTAAAACTCTATTAACAGATTAACAGAGTTGGAAGGGACCTATCTAGTCCAACCCCCCAGCCCAAGCAGGAGACCCTACACCATTTCTGACAGTTGGGCAGTCCAGTCTCTTCTACAAAGCTTCCAGTGATGAAGTTCCCACAACTTCTGAGAGCAAACTGTTCCATTGGTTGATTGTTCTCACTGTCAGGAAATTTCTCCTTATTTCTAGGTTGAATCTCTCCTTGTTCAGTTTCCCTCCATTGTTCCTTGTCTGGCCTGCTATCTTCTCTTCAACTTCAGGTGGGTAAACCAGCTGGATAAAAATGGAAGATAAACATAGCTATCCTGAACCTGGGCTGCAGTAATACAGATCCAGCATGCTCTTCTGAATGTGTCTTCCTCCATCTGACCTTCTCTTGTTATTTTTCGTTGGGATTCCGTTCACACCTTCAGCCACCTGCAAAGATTCTGAATTCCCAGCCTTCAAAAATGGGAGATCCTTGATTTATCCGAACACTGTGGTTCGGTTAATTGTTAGCCATGTCCGACCCATCACGACACCATGGACAACGTTCCTCCAGGCCTTCCTGTCCTCTACCATCTTCTGGAGTTCATTTAAACTCACACTGACTGCTTCAGTGACTCTATCCAGCCACCTCTTTCTCTGCCGTCTCCTTCTTCTTCTATTGCCGTCAACTTTTCCCAGCATTCAGCTCTTCTCCAGCGAGTCCTTCCTTCTCATGAGGTGGCCAAAGTATTTGAGTTTCATCCTCAGGATCTGGCCTTCTAAAGAGCAGTCAGGGTAGAGTTCCACATTTGGAGAAAAATGCTAATCAGACACTGAGATGAAATAAACGATAAATGTTGAAATTAATAGATAAATGTTGATGTTGCAATGATAAGCAGCTGATGGAATCCAAAGATACTTCCTTCCAGGCTGAACAGTTATTCCAGCTGTGTTTCCTGATTCAAAGCCAAGACAAAGCCCATTTATATTTCTTCAGAAAGCATTTCTCACTAATTTCCTCCCCCCCCTTAGGGGCAATTGCTAGGTGACTGTGGAGGATCTATGTTGATTTAATCCCATTTCTCTTCCAGTCACACAGAAAGCAAGGAATAGGGTGGTCAGGCCTTAGAAATGAAGATCAGCAAAGATGCCGCTGAAGAAGGGGAGATGCGTTCTCCAAATTATTTGGGAGAATTATATTCTCCAAAGCACTTAAGGCAGGACAAGAATTAATGGGTGGAAACCAATGTTCATCTCAATGTCTTGAAGTCTTCTAGAATTTAGGATTAAAACCTCATCATCTTAATTGTTCAGGCCTTCTGGGAATCATTATCTAAAATGTCTAAATGCACCATAAGGCCAATCAGAATAGAGCTAGAAGGGACCTTGGAGGTCTTCTAGTCCAACCCCACCCCTGCTGAAGCATGAGACCCTATACCATTTCAGATAGGTGGCTGTCCAATCTTTTTTTTTAAAAAAAAAAAAAAACCTCCAGTGATGGAGTGCCCATGATTTGTGAAGGCAAAACTGTTCCAGCGGTTAATTGTCTTCACTGTTAGGCAGTTTCTCCTCAATTCCAGGTTGCTTCCCTCCTTGGTTAGTTTCCATCCGTTGCTTCTGGTCTCGCCTTCTGGCACTTCGGAAAATAGCTTGACTTCCTCTTCTTTGCGGCAGCCCCTCGAATATTGCAATACTGCTATCATGTCACTTCTAGTCCTTCTTTTCTCTAGACTTGCAACCGTTCTTCATATGTGTTTGTCTGCCAGGCCATTAATCGTCTTAGTTGCTCTTCTTTGCGCTTTTTTTTCACCAATGTCTCAACATCTTTCCTGTAATGTCGTGACCAAAACTGGACACAGAATTATTCTAGGGGTGGTCTTACTGAGGCTTTATAAAACGGTTCGAAGACTTCATGTGAGTTTGATTCTATGCCTCTGTTTATACAACCAAGGATTGTATTAGCTTGCTTGGCTGCTGTCTCAGACTGCTGGCTCGTGTTCAATAACGCATCCCTCAATGCATTATTTTAAGCAATATGCTGCTTCCAAGGAGACCTCATTAGAAGCTATCACCCTTGTTCTCAGAACAGTTATCTGCACCAATCTCCTGGAGAGATGTACCACAATTTTCCCTTTAAAACAATTTGTCGAATCCCTGTTCTAATCAGGGGGTGGGATTCTACCAGTTCGGACGAACTGGTAGTTCCAGCGATCATTTGGCCCTGCCCCAGTCTGCCATTTATTTCCATGTTTTGCAGCTCAGTTGATTCGCGCGGCACAGCAGATTATATGTCCCAGCTCTTTAACTCACTGGGGCTGCAGTAGAAGGTAAGTATTAGAGCTGAAACGCTGAGTTTTGAAAGGCTGTGCACGAAGCAGGTGCTCAACGAACTGGTTATTATGTCAACTCATAAAACATTCCTATGCCTGTTTCAGTAGTTGCCATAAAAAGCGGGGTGAGGAGTGAAAATACAATCCAACTCTTATCTTTAAAAGATTGTAACTAAAATACCAGAGTTTTTGCCCACGAGTATATTTAATTGGAGAATGTGAATGATGACACCCAGCCCGTGAACGTGCTCAATTGGAGAATCTGATTTATGACAAACCCAGGAGGGAAGGGGGGAAACAGGGTCACAGATGACTGTAAATTACGTAGGCCAGAGTTGGCTGCATACAGGGCAGGGCCAGTATGTCACCTCTAATGAATCCTGTGAAGTTTTTTGAAGCTTGGCTCGAGAATCATGATTTAATAAGAGCGATTGCTGGAATCCTGACAAATTACACCGGTTGAATCCCACCCCGGTTCTAATGTTACATAACAAGGCACCAACCTTCAGCTTGTGCTCTTTACGGTTGACAATCACAGCTGTGATTTGCTGGTCCATGAAGATGAGGATGGTGACCAGGAGAGCAGGAATAGCTGCGGCCAGGTATACCCACCAAGGGTTGCCTCCAAATGGTGTGATAAACCAGCTTCTATCTGGATGTGTTGGCTTCAGAGGGAAGAAGACAGAAAAGGGCATCAGAAAGACACTTCAAAACATGTCAAGTCAAAGGAAGAGTTTCTGAAGTAAACCCAAGTTCACACACACACACACACACACACACACACACAATCACAAACATTGCAAGAATGGGGCAAAGAATCCCATATCCTTTGCATGTTTAGATCCTCACACCCACTGTGTGTGTGTGTGTGTGTGTGTGTGTGTGTGTATATGTATATTTGTTTTTGTAGATTTTCACGGGTACAGGTATGTAGGTCTAGGTGTGTTTGGGTCTTTTCCCATGTAAGATTGAGAGTATCTTGGCGACGTTTCGGCGAGATCCCACTCGCCATCCTCAGGCTGGTTCTTTCTGCTTTGTGCCAGTGCAAGTTGAAAGCACCAGCCTGAGGATGGCAAGTGGGACCTTGCCAAAACATCACCAAGATACTCTCAATCTTACAGGGGAAAAGACTCGAACACACCTAGACATACATACATACATATATATATATATATTTGTTTTCTGAGGTTCTCGCGGGTATTTGTATGTGTATCTTTGGTTATTCGGGTTTTCTCCCACGTAAAATTGGAAGTATCTAGGCAACGTTTCGATGAAGTCTCATTCATCATCTTCAGGCTTGTGTCTTCGGCTCTGTGCTTACATTACTCTGAGAAACACAGAGCCGAAGACACAAGCCTGAAGATGATGAATGAGACTTCATCGAAACGTTGCCTAGATACTTCCAATTTTACGCGGGAGAAAATCCTGAATAACCAAAGATACACACACACACACACACACACACACACACACACACACACACACATATATAGTATTCAGTTTTGTTCGGGTATTTTCCCACATCACTGTAGTTGTGCTTTTAAAGTTGTAGCAACGTTTTGGCAGAATCTCATCTGCCATCATCAGGCTTTTGTATTGTATTCGTCTGTGAGTCAGACTTTCACAGTATCCATATCCATATATATATGCATTTGCACTTCTTATTTCATAGGTATTGTCAGAGAAAAGCTTGCACAAGCTACTCAGCAATCCACAATGAAAACAGTGTCTATGGAGATTCTATAACCTTTGGGGGAAGTGCTTTGGGGGTGGGACATTTCTCTGTGGATCGCCAAAATTTTCTCACGGACCACCAGTGGTCCCCAGCCCACTGGTTGGTGACCACTGCTTTAGAAGGCCAGATCCTGAAGTTGAAATTCAAAGACTTTGGCCACCTAATGGGAAGGAAGGATTCACTGGAGAAGAGCCTAAAGCTGGGAACGACTGAGGGCAAAAGAAGAAGAAGGAGACGGCAGAGAAGGAGGTGGCTGGATGGAGTCACTGAAACAGTCAGCATGAGCTTAAATGGACTCTGGGGGATGGTAAAGGACAGGAAGGCCTGGAGGAACGTCGTCCATGAGGTCGCGATGGATTGGACACGACTTAACAACTAACAACAACAACAATAGTTTAACATACCTTGAATTCACTTGGCACAAGAAGTTTTGGTGTATCGACACCGACCAGAGCATCGATTCCACAAAAAATCAGAATAGAAATGACGATGGCAAAATCACTGATCAATTTTCTTGCCTGAAACAGAAAAGACAATTACATCAGTTTTTAAAATTTGCCCATTTTAAGGGGCCGGACAAATATGCACGGAAAAGAAAAAAATCAACACTAAAATAACTAAAATAGAGAATCAGCAACTAGAAACGCTCCGTCTGTCCAGCTGAAGAACATTCCAGAAGGCGCTGGCATCCATTTGGGCAGACAAAAGAGCCCAGGTTACAACATTACCACCTCAAAGTGCCCTTCCCATCAAACTCATTCATAATCCTGGTTTTTTTTCAGGATTTCTTCAACTGACTGCATCCAACTTGTGCAAAGCTGAATGAGAATCTGGAAGAAGGAGCATATGCACAAGAAAGCATGCATACCAAATGGAACAAAAGCCCTTGATTCTTTTAAAACTAACATTACTAAGTGCAATTCAGTGCACAATCAAACATTAGAATAGAATAACAGAGTTGGAAGGGACCTTGGAGGTCTTCTAGTCCAACCCCTGCTTAGGCAGGAAACCCTACACCACTTCAGACAAATGGTTATCCAATCTCTTCTTAAAAACCTCCCGTGTTGAAGCATTCACAACTTCTGGAGGCAAGTTGCTCTATCAGGAAATGTCTCTTTAGTTCTAGGTTGCTTCTCTCCTTGATTAGTGTCCATCCATGGCTTCTTGTTTTGCCTGAAGGTGCTTTGGAGAATAGCTTGATTCCCTCTTCTTTGGGGCAGCCCCTCAAATATTGGTAGACTGCTATTATGTCTCCTCCAGTCCTTCTTTTAATTAAACTAAACATACCCAGTTCCTACAACAGTTCTTCATATGTTTCATCCTCCAGTCCCCTAATCATGTTTGTTGCTCTTCTCTGCACTCTTTCTAGAGTCTCCACATCTTTTTTACATCGTGGCGACCAAAAATGGATGCAGGATTCCAAGTGTGGCCTTATAAAGTGGTATTAACACTTCACCTGATCTTGATTCTATCCTTCTGTTAAGAATTGTGTTGGCTTTTTTGGCAGCTGTAGCACACAGCTGGCTCATATTTAAGTGATTGTCCACTAGGACTCCAAGATCCCATTAATGTTACCATGGGGGAAAAAAGGGCACTTTATGAAGAGAGAAGCTCAGTTTTTACAAACTGTTATTATCCCTCCCCAAAAAAGGATAATAATCATTTTTAAAGATATTCTTACTTTACCTCTCTATCCACCAGATACCATTCTAAATATGGCAAGCCGTTGCCAAAATTCTAATCATTCCTCATTTGTTAATTTGGCTCTGGTCCCAGAAATGTTATCTCTGTGGTTAGGACTCAAATATGTTCGGTACTTCATAAATCAAAGGAGGAAGTAATAAAAAAGAGTTTTATGCAACATACTACCTTTTATCTAAGTTTAATCTTAAGGTTTACAACATTATGCAGTGAACCATGTTGAGTTAACATAAACTTTAAATGCTCAGGTAGTAACATTGCTGTTTGAGCAAAGTTCATATATAAACTTACTGGTTTATAAGGCACAAAGAAGACTGGATTAACAGGAATAAATGAACCAATAAAAAAGAATATTTGTAGCTTAGTGTTGAATTGTTTGGTGCTCTCTTGCAGATGTTTCATTACCCAACTAGGTAATATCAGTAGCACTGATGGTATTACCTAGTTGGGTAATGAAATGTCTGCAAGAAAACAGCCAAGCTCAGATAGCACCCAGGGACCTACAGGAGTGAGTGTCTTTTCCAAATCCCCTTTTAACCAAGTACTTATGGTGTGTGGTTCACAATAGGAAGGTGTGCTGCCAGGATACAAGTGGACGAGAGGTGGTATTCAGCAGGTTCTGACCAGTTCTGGAGAACTGGTAGTGGAAATTTTGAGTAGTTCGGAGAACCGGCAAATACCGCCTCCGACTGGAGATTTTACAGTATTCTTCCCCTGTCACGCCCACCAAGCCACACCCACAGAACCGGTAGCAAGAAAATTTGAATCCCACCACTGAAGTGGACAGACTACCACACTGCCACTCATGTCTGTAGGTGCACCATCCATCCTCCCACTTACTGGCTACAATGAGAAACAGCCGAAATGCAAAGCTAATTCTTGACCTTGAACAAATGGTGCTGGACGTACTGCAGAAATTAGCTGAGAAACCTTATTAGAAATCACACGACTTACAGTGGTTGGGAAATAACGACTGGTCTTGAATTTCTTCAAAGCCATGGAGCATGTGTAGGTTCCCAAAAAGAGGATGCAGGACATGAGTGTGATGTCAGGGACATATTTGCAATTATTCCCCAAGAGCTCTCCTCCAAACTTCAAGCATTCCTTCTTGGTCAGGGATGACCATTCAATGGTATCATTGTGCTATAAACACAAAAGAGGAAGGGGGAAAAAATGGCATCTTTAGAGCAAACATTCTCGTTTTCTCCCTCCATGCTAGATTCTCGGATCACGTGACCTTGGGACACTGCACTGGTCATAAATATGAATCAGCTGCCAAGCACCTGAATTTTGATCGTGCGACCAGTGGGATTATGCAACTGCGTGAACAGTGATCGTAAGTCCTTTCTTTTTGCAGTGCTGTTGTAATTTGGAATGATCATTAAGTGAATGATTGAGTGAATGGTTATAAGTTGAGGACTACCTAGAACAATATGGCCTTTACTTTTCAGACATTATGGAGCTGTAGTCCCAACATGCTTGAAAAGTTGCCTTTGTATAATGCGTGTGAATCCCAGCATTTTATGAGTGCCCCTGTCAGAGTCTGAATCCGAGGAGGAAGACAAACAGCGGACAGGGCGTGGGAGTGTGGTTCCATTGGCTGTGGAGGAAACTGGGGAAGAGCAAAGACCGGCTGGGCAGAGCAGAAGAGAGGTAGAACAAGGCAGAGGGAGTTCAGAGGAAGACCCAGCCCCCCGCCCTCTTGATCCTAGGGCATGCAGAGAGGAATGGAGAAGGGAGCAACATGGGTTGCGTGGCTTACGGGGGAGGAAAGGGCCCTGATTCCCTTCATTAGCCACAGCTGAAAAGGGACTTTAAAAGAGATGCATGTGGAGTGAGGCATCTGATGGAAACAAATGTGAGTTTATCTTCTGTGTACTTTGGTTATCTGTGTTCCTGGCATCCTCCCAACCATGTTGAGTTATTGCTGTGCCTTCACGTCTGGAATTCCTTCTCCTGCCCTGCTGGACTAATTATCTCGTTTTGCCTTGTTTGGACTTATAGTTACAGTTTTTGTTGACCATGTTTTGGACTTGATTCTCTGCAGCCAAAGGCTGTTCCTGGGAGAGTTTCTCTCCAGCCAGAAGATAACCAGGACACTGGGGGCAAAGTTGGAGCTAATAAAGGGACTCCTACTGATTATCTGACTGTGTTGCCTTTGTGCCATACCCTGAGTCATCACAGAGTAATAATTAATTAATAACTTTGGGACACAGCAATGGTCATTAATATGAACAGTTACCAAATACCTGAATTTTGATCATGTGACCGCCAGGATGTTGCAGAGGTCTTAAGAGTGAAACACGGTCATAAGTAACATTTTTCAGTGCCACTGTAACTTTGAACAGTCACTAAATGAACTATTGTAAGTTGAGGACTACCTGTACATAACTCAACCTTCTGAATGCATGGATATTCCTCCCCTGAGCTACCGCCTATTCAACTGGGAAGAATTTTTAATAGACTAAAAGTGATAAAAGCATTCACAGATTCTTTGCATCAGTTCACAATTTTCACAGATATCTTTTCAACAACATAACTGTACAGCCCAGAGGGAGCAAAAGAATTTGACAAAATTCTCATTTTTCCACTCAGAAGTGATAAGAGCATCCTCTGTGATCTGTGTGTTGTTGTTGCACTGCTGATTTTATAAAAAAAATGCATGGGTATATTTTATATCGACTAATTAAATTTCTGAGCCATTTGATTTTGGTACAGCTATCCAGCTGGGTCTACCAATGTGGTTGGGTTTTTTTTTTTTAAGGTGGGCACATTTTGTTTTAAAAACTGCTGTAGCCAATTGTAAGTATTATTTAGTTATGGTTCGTCACATGGACAACCAGATTTGGGTTTGGCATTTCTGTCTGCCTACCGAGCCCTTCCCAAGAACTTGCGGTATAGGCAGATGTTATTCAATGATAAAAATATCATTGCAGGATGTAAGCTGTTGCAAGCAAAGCTGCCTTCCGCAATTGACTGAGAGTGAATTCGTCAATGCCGATAGCGTCCAAGTAGTGCTTTAGTGGTGCTTATCTTGTTTTGTTGTGGATATTTTGATATTAACCAGGTGATGGAATGTGCAGCTGGAAAGTGTGTGTGTGTGTGTGTGTGTGTGTGTGTGTGTGTGTGTGTGTGTGTGTGTGTGTGGAATCTCAGCAATCACTTTGCAGCTTTCAAGCACGGGGGCAACACATTCCAGAAAGTGGCCCAATTTAAGAGGCTGCATAGGCCTTGCTACTTCTGTGCCTGTATGGAATTATCAATAAAGTTATACTCTTGGTAAAATAGTATAAAATTGGTAAAAATTTCTTTTGCTGCATTTACCAATGGGATGGTTGACAGGTGTGGAAAAAAAGTTAAATTATTATGTCTGCCGACCTAGAAATAAATCCTAAAGACCTCGGTGGGATTTACTGCTGAATAAACATGTACACAATTGACTGTACACAAATAGCAATAGCACTTATATACCACTTTACAGTGCTTTACAGTCCTAAGCTGTTTACAGCATCTTGTCTGTCAGAGTGTTTGAAGCATGACTACCATTATGAAACAACCCAGGAGCAAAACACAGCTCACAGACTTAGACATTTAACAGCAGTTTATATTACAACAGTTATATACAGAAATACATGTGGTAGGCAAATATCTTCTAAGTAAACAAACTTCTTCTTAACTGTACACATGGAGAACTCTGCAATGAATTCTGGACACAAGGAGAGAGAATACACACTCTATAATGGCTGCCTTATATAAACACCGATTAAAGGGGTAGAACCCATCCCCAGTCTTAAAGGGAAAATACCCATGCTCTGCTGAATCACCATTTCCTCGGCCTAACATTGCATCAGACTTATAGCATCTGGCAGCTATTATTGCTGCTAGTCAGCTCTTAAATCTTAATACTTCAACACTGTCCCTGATAATTTGGGCTCCTCATTGGATGGAAGGCTGAGTCAACCTTGAGCCTGGTGAGATTCAAACGGCCAAATTGCAGTCAGCTGGTAGTCAGCAGAACTAGCATGCACTCTAACCACTGCGCCACCGGGGCTCATCGCTTTGCGCAGGTAGTCCTCAACTTATGACCACAACTGAGCCCAAAATTTATGTTACTAAGCAAGAAATGTGTTAAGTGAGTCCTACCCCATTTTATGACCTTTCTTGACACATTTTGCCACGCCCTTGTTGGAGTCTGATTCTGAAGGGGAGATTGAGCAGCTAACAGAGAGTGGGAGTGTGGCTCCAGTGGCTGTGGAAGAAAGGGGGGAAGGGCACAGTCCAGCTGGGCATACAGAGGAAGACCCAGGGCCATCCCCTCTTCATCCTAGGACACACAGGGAGGAATGGAGAAGGGAGCAACATGGCTTACAGGAGAGGAAAGGGCCCTGATCCCTTTCATTAGTTGCAGTTGGGAGAACAGAATATAAGTAGGGCATTTGCACACAGCTCCTTGCTGGAAGCAAAGTGTGCATTACCTTTGTCAAGGCTTATTTGAGTTTTGGCATCCTCCCAACTCTGGTTGTTGCCTTATCTTGTGAAAGTCTGCAATTTATCATCCTGGCCTGCCGTGTTAATTACTTTAGTGTGGTTTGTGTTGGTTCTTTTTAATTTCTAGTTATCTTTACTTTGGGTTCGGACTGCATTTTGCTCCCTTTGTAGACTGTTTTTGGAAGAGTTTGATATCCAGCTGAGGGTAATTGGACTTTGGGGCCCAAGTTGGAGACATTAAAGGGAATTTATTCTACTTTTGTGACTATGTCATTTTTGTGTCACGCCCTGGGTCATCACACATTTGTTAAGCGAATCACAGCAGCTGTCAAATTAGCAACACAGTTGTTAAGCGAATCTGGCTTCCCCGTTGACTCATCTTGTCGGAAGGTTGCAAAAGGGGATCACATGAGCCCGGGGACCGCTCCAACCGTCACAAATATGAGTCAGTCATCAAGCACCTGAATGTAAATCACGTGATGCGGCAACGGGCATAAGTGTGAAAAAAAACAGTCGTAAGTCACTTTTTTCAGTGCTGTTGTAACTTTGAATTTAAGTCACTACGTGAACTGTTGTTAGTCTGTACTGTGATTTTGTTCAAAATACAGTAATCCTATGAAACAGGTGTTAATTCAACTCGGGAGATTAAAGCAAAATAAGACAAAAGGAAAGAGAATGTATTAAAAGCAAGCAGCGTAATGGCACTGGGCATAACTATTTCAAATATTATAACATGATTTCTGCTTACCATTATTTCACTGAGCGAAGATGGGGATAACATGACCGTCTCATTGATTAACGAACTATTCACTGTAAGAAAGAAAGAAATGCCACACTTTGAATATACCACTGTAAAAAAAATAATGAGGGAAAGCTGCAATTAAGTTGAAACGCACAATCCCTCCCACCTCCCGAAAATTAAAATACAGTTAAGCCTTATAATCCTCTTATACTAATCAGTAATCAGAAGCATCAATTATGATCCTGCATTATATACAGTAAAAAGAAGTTATTATTCTATCACTTGTGCTTCTTAACCATTTGCTGAGGGAAAAATAAAGAAAAAACACAACAAGACTAATTGACTCAAATTATGTTGATGCCTGAGTGACAATGGGGCGACAATACTTCCCAGTGTAAATTCATCATTAGAATTCTTACATCACCCAGGAGATGAAAGTGCATTTTTATCTACACTGAAAAGCTGAACTATTAAATGTTATGCCATGTTATCCTTTTCCTTATACAGGCACAATAGTGTGAACAAATGGCTCAGCTTCCAATTAAGAAAATGGGGTGGCATTTCCATTCTCTGGGTTCAAAAGGAGAGCCTCTGCCCCCCAAGAGGTTCAGCAAAGGTTGAACCATAACCGCAGCGTGCCTTATATACAGAGAAAACAAAAGCACCTTTTCAAAGATTTTCGGTATTCATTCCAATTGTTAGAAAACCTATTTTTGTTTAACAACCCTCCATCTTAGGTGAGATTATGCTAAGAACTAAGGAAAAAAAAACAGGATAGAATAGGAAAGGAAAGAGTAGGGTAAAAGGAAAGGAAAAAGGAGAAAGGGGGAGGGAGGAAGGGAAGGAAGGAAGGAAGGAAGGAAGGAAGGA